TGTTTTGCAGGCGGCCTGTATTCCTGTGCTGCTGAGTAACGGATGGGAGCTGCCCTTCTCAGAGGTCATTGACTGGAGTAAAGCTGCCATCATTGGAGATGAGAGAATATTGCTGCAGGTACACACACACACTCGCATCAGACTATCAGTGCACAATCCCGCCAAAACACTAACAAACACATAGTCGTCTTTATAATAATGTAATTGTACTGTAGAGTAATGAGACCACATTACTGTATAATCTGTTTTAAACCCTCCATCATTCCTCTTAACAGCAGACTGAAAATCTTGCTTTTTTTCCCACATTTTGTAAAACGACCACTGGGAGCTTTAATTAAATGCTGCTGAAATTCTCATGAGGGGGGAAAAAAGAAGCAGCAATGAATCCCAGGAGGTTCTAAGAGTGGTTTTTAAATTGATATCACACTTTTCCCCAAGCTCTTAATTATTCAAGCCAATTCACTATTTCCCCAAAATTCAGAAGGAGAAATTAGCCTTCATTTGCAGAGACAATTGATATTTTCATATTTTAGCATGACACAATTAATTAAGTCTCTTCTAATTTTTAAAAGTGAAGTAAAGTAGCGAACACAGACGATCACAAACAAACACACAACCCAGCGCGGAGTGGCAGCCATACGGGCAAAGTATTCCCACACCAGAAGGGGTGTGCCACAGGGCTCAGTTCTAGCACTATGTAAATTAAACATTATTATTATTATAAAAAATATCTGACTTTTAAAATTTTCCTGGTGGCATCGAATGCAGTGCTGAATGACATTTTAGACTCTCTCTTTCTCACAAATATTCAAATACCCACATTTCACCTACAGTATGACTGCAATGTTTTATTAACCCATTAATTTCATAGTGTAGGACAAAAATTTTCAGAACACCAAAATACAAAGCTACATCCTTCTAAAATTATTTTCATAAAGGCCCATATATGTTGTATAAGAAAAGATATTAAGCTCCATATTATAAAGAGAACTTTTCAAAACTAAATAATTGACCTTTGTCTAATTATCATTGTACTAAGTGCCAAAGTAAATTATTACAATATTAGAATATTCACTTTATTTGAAGTTGACAGTGTATCTTTTTTCTATCTGCTATTTATGTTAGATTTATAAACCTTCTAAATAGATAGATAGATGTCTATTAGATTGATACAGAATTTACTTATTGAATCTAATTTGGATTTTTTTGTGCATATCTGAGACTTGGTTGAATCATGATGTCCCTACTGACCTAATTAATATACCAGAATATAGTTGTTATAGGAGAGATAGGGCCAAAGGAAGGGGAGGGGGTGTTTTAATTTATATTAGGGAACACTTTAAATGTTTAGAACTTGACCTGAATGTGAACATGGAATGCTTGGGATTGAATGTAATTCTTTCTTCAAACATGAAATTTAATTTAGTTGTGCTTTATAATCCTCCATGTCATGATGTAAATTTCTACAATGAACTGAAGAATCTTCTTTTTCTTGTTGACAACTGTTGTGAATGTATGATGTTTGGGGACTTTAACATAAACTGGATGGTTAAAAGTGGTAAATCAACATTAAAATCAACTATGGAGAAATTTAAATTCAAACAGCTGATTGATAGACCCACTAGAATAACTAGAAAGAGTGAAACTCTTATAGATCTGATTTTTACTAACAGGCCAGAGAGAGTAACAAAAACATATAATCTCATTATTGGCCTTTCAGATCATATAACATGACAATGATTGTAAGAAAGTTAACTAAAAAACGTCTACTTCACCATAATAAAATAGAAAATTAAATTTTAACAACAGGAATTCCCAGGTCAAAAATAGCCAGCTTTGAACATGATTTGAAGAAAGTTAATTGGGAAGAGGTAATTAAAGAATCAGACTTAAACCACAGTGCAAGCAATTTTGCCTTTATTTTAAGTGAATTAATAAGTAAACATACGAAAACCTGGAAAAGTAGGCCTAAGAAATTCTCTCTTCCATGGTTTAACAGTGACATCCTTCAGATCGTTAAAAGGCGAGATCTGGAGCCAATTACTTTTTTAGTAAATTTGTCAATACAAACAAAAGTATTCCCAGAGAGCTGGAAAACAGCAATAATTACGCCGGTCTATAAATCGGGAGATAAGGATATAGCAAGTAATTATAGGCCTATTGCTATCCTTCCTGTAGTCTCAAAAGTTCTGGAGAAGATTGTTGCCGAGCAATTAGTGGAACATTTAGAGTCTAACCAGTTGCTTTATCGACAGCAGTTTGGATTTAGAGACAAATATTCCACTGAAACTGCTAACTGCTATTTGCTTGAAAAAATAAAAGCCTCATTGGATAAAGGGAATGTTCTCGGGGCAGTGTTCTTGGACCTAAAAAAGGCCTTTGACACTGTTAATCACAGCATTTTAATAAATAAATTAAATCGATTCAAAATGTCATCAGACGCCATTCAGTGGTTTAGGTCCTATTTGAGTGGAAGACAGCAGTGTGTCAGGGTCAATGGGGTTAAGTCACCTCTGCAGACAAACAACATAGGAGTACCGCAAGGTTCTGTACTTGGCCCTCTGTTGTTTACAATGTACATAAATGACTTACCAAATTGCTGTCCGGGTGTATGCTGCCACCTGTATGCTGATGACTCTGTCGTCCATGTGTCCACTACAACACCTAGCCTGGCAGGTGAGCACCTGACACAGGCATTACATAACATCTCTAAATGGCTCGAGTTGTCTCATTTAACTCTTAATGTTAAAAAAACAGTTTCCATGTGCTTCTTCATACGAAATAGGCCTGCAAGGGATGTATTTGAGGTGCGGATTAAAAATGAAGTAATTGAAGCAGTGAATGAAATCAAGTATCTTGGGATTATTCTAGATAAGAATTTAAAATTTGATAGTCACATTGAGTACATCTGTAAGAAGGTCAAACCTAAATTGTTTTCGTGTTATTCGAAGGGACTTGTCATGTCAAACTGCAAAATTATACATGCATGCAATGATATTTTCACATTTATCATATTGTGTCACATCATGGTCACAAGTCTCTCCAAATAAATTAAAGCCTATTATTTCAATATACAAACAGGCAATAAAAGTTATGGACCAGAAACCCATGAGATGGCATCATTGTCATGTTTTAAGAAAGCATAACCTTCTTAGCTTCGATAGTTTTGTTGATTTTAATTATCTCAAATTGGTTTTTAAATGTCTAAAGAGTCATGTTTCACCACTGTTTTCTGAATTGGTCAGTAGGCGTCAGAACTCCCATAGGGTAAACACATGAGCCACTATTAGTGGTGACTGTCTTGTTCCAAAGTATAAGACCTCTTTTGGCCAATCTGCTTTCTCGGCAAAGGGGCCAAAACTCTGGAATGCTTTACCTACTAATTTAAAACTAGAGACCAATGGTAATGCTTTTAACAGAGGACTTAAACAATGGTTAAAAACCAAACAACAGTGCTCACATGAATAGTTCTTCATACCAAATTATTATTGCGATATTGTCTGATTATGTTGTCTTTGCTTTATAGCTTATGTATGTAAATAATTTTGAATGTATTGTTCCTTCTTTTTTGTAATTTTATGGTATATTTTTTTCTTTTTCCCTTTTTTTTATTTTTATTAGTATTGTTATTATTACTTTTATTGTTAACATTGTTATAATTATTGGTTTTATTTTATTAATTTTAATTTTTTTTTTCTGCTTTCTGAAAAGCCTCCCGTGGACTGGTGTTGAAAATTAGCATGTGTGCTAAAACACTTAAGCAAGTGCATATGGTTTGTCCAATGTAACTGTGATGTCCATGTTAAATAAAAATTTAATAATAATAATAATAATTTGTTTTGTTCATCTTTTGCTTTGATAGCAACAACACTAGGGCTGTGAATCTTTGGGTAGACAGCGAATCGATTCGATTCACGATTCATAGGTT